TGTGTGTGTGTGTGTGTGTGTGTGTGTGTGTGTGTGTGTGTGTGTGTGTCAGCACACAAGAGACAGCAGTAGACACCTCAGCATCTTTAGATGCACAGCAGCTGTCAATAACTCATCACTTCCTTCATTAAGTGTATTGGGATTCTGTCAGATAAACTGTGTGTGTGTGTGTGTTTGTGTGTGTTTGCATGTGTGTGTGTGTGTACCTTCAGCTTTACCTGCTTGATCTGAGAACTGTTGGACTATATTTTGCTTATTTAAGACCCATTTGACTATTAGAGCTACTATCTGTGTTTTTAATAAAGCCCACGCAGACAAAATGAAACGCCTTGAGACGTGTATGCGTGTGTGTGTGTGTGTGTGTGTGTGTGTGTGTGTGTGTGTGTACCTTCAGGTAAACCCAGCTGGACCAGCAGCAGCAGCAGAGTCAGGTGGATGCAGCGTTTCCATGGTAACAGTTGCTCCATCGGTGGGGTCAAAGGTGAGCAGCGTTCTGAAAGACGACACGGACATTCTGTCAGTGAAGCCCCGCCCCCTGGTGTAAATAACAATAATCTGACGATGATGAGGATGATGAAGATGGTTCCAGTCAGTGTGTGTCATCATGAATGATCATGTTAGAGTGAAGTGGACGAGGTCATCCTTCGCTGTAAAGCTTCCATCATCTGAACCAACAGAACCGGTCAGAAACTCCCAGAGAGCCTTCAACCTTACGGTTTCTCTCAGTTCCATCAGAGCAGAGGTTCAGGTTTCCAGCTGAGGAAACAAACGCTGACAGCAGCTCAGTTCTGAGGAGCAGAAGATCCTTACATCACTTTATACAGCAACGTCCATTAATCCTCTCTGAGCTGAGCTTCTGCACAAACTCAGGATTTATCTCCCGAAGCCAGCGGGGATCAAACCTGCAGCCTCAGGATGAGAAGACCACTGAAACACTGAACCACTGAACCACTGAACCATGAAGCCACTGAACCATGAAGCCACTGAACCACTGAGCCATGAAGCCACTGAACCACTGAACCACTGAGCCACTGAACCATGAAGCCACTGAACCACTGAGCCACTGAACCATGAAGCCACTGAACCACTGAACCATGAAGCCACTGAACCACTGAGCCACTGAACCATGAAGCCACTGAACCACTGAACCATGAAGCCACTGAACCACTGAACCACTGAACCATGAAGCCACTGAACCACTGAGCCACTGAACCACTGAGCCATGAAGCCAC